TTGCTGGCGAGACGGTAGCGCAGGACACTTCAATTTTTCGATTTTAGGGTGGTGGAAGTTTCACAGCAAAATTCAGTAGAGTGTGTTTCTTACACCTGAACAGCCTTTCTCTGCCTCTTACATTCCACATTGATATAATGCTTTTGATATAGTTAATAAACTACATCTGTGTATTATCATCCTTAACCCATAATTTACAATAAGATTTATTCTTGGTGTTGTGTTCTGTGGTTTTGACAAATGTATAGTGATAGAACCACCTTTATATAGAATAGTCTCCTGGCCTGAAGCGTTCTGCCTAGCCTGTTCATCTCTTTCCCCACTGATCCTAGGGAACAAATGTTTTTGTTGGTGGTGGATTGTTTTTTGTTTCTTTTCTGCTACTAATGAAGGAGTTGAACCTAGCACTTCATGCATGCTGGACAAACAGTCTTCCACTGATTTGCGTCCCCACATGGTCTTTGTATAGTTAGCATCACACAGTATGTAATGTGTTCAGATCGACTTCTTTTGTTTTAGTAATATCTAAAGTTCTTTCATGTCTTTTCATAATTAATTTTTTTATGCTTAATTTAGTGTCTCCCGCAGCTTACCACCCACTCACTGAAGGAGATCATTTGTGCTTCCAAGTTTGGACAGTTAAGAACAAGCTGCTGAAATCATCTTTGCTCAGGGTTCTGTGTGGATGTGCGCTTTCAGCCCATTTGACAAAAGGCCAATGAGCATAATTGCTGGGTCTTAAGAGTATGTTCAGTTTTGTAAGTAAATTGCTCAACTGTTGTTCAAAATAACTGTCCTGTTTTTACATTCCTGTTGCTCTACCCTCTTGGCATGTTCTGGTGATGAATGTGGCTATTCTGTTAGGTATACAGTAGTTTTTATCTTAATTTGCAGTTTCCTAATGAATGTGCTGTTGAACATCTTCTCATATGTCAGCTAGCTTTCTGTGTGTTCTGGAGACATGGCTATTCAGGTATTATTTTGAAGTAAGCTCAGAATTACAGACATTTGCAAATAAACAGTATCAAAGGTTTGCCTGTATCTGCCTTGTGGCTTCTCTAAATGGAAATATCTCACATAATTATACACATTATCAAAACCAGGAATTAGCCTTGATAGGATGCTGTTGATTAATCTATGACCGAGAGATAACTTCTTTCCCTCCAGTATTGTGCCATTTCTGGACTAAGTCCACAATCCTGTATTGTCTTTAGCTATCATATTTCCTTGATCTCTGGCCTGGTACAACTTGATCTTTGTTTCCTTTGGCTTTAACACTTAATACCAAAGTCATGGGTAGTTACTTTGCACAATGTCTCTCAACTTGAGCTTTTCTGTATCTCCTCAGGATGAAGTCTTGGTTGTACACTTTTAGGTGAAGAAAACCTAGAGCTGATATCAAGCTTTTCTTACTGTGAAACCCTGGGGAACATAATGTAAGCACGTCTCTACGATTTGTGTTGACTGACCCTTTGCTTCAGAAGTTCTGTTATGGTTCTCCACTGTAAAGTTACTGCTTTTCTTTTTGTAGTTAATATTTTTTGTGACTTTATAAATACTTTTATACTTTGTCCAGCATTCCTGATTGACTCTTGCCTAACAGATGTTACTTCAGTGTTTTCCAAATGGCCGTTCCCTGTTGCTGTCAGCTCCCCCACTTCTTTTTAATTTTATTTTTTATGTATGTATGTATTTGTTTATTTATTTGAGACTGGGTTTCTCTGTGTAGCGTCCCTGGCAGTCCTGGAACTCTCTTTGTAGACCAGTCCGACCTTGAACTCACAGAGATCCTCTGCCTTTGCCTCCTGAGCCCCACCACTGCCTGGCTGGCTGCACAATTTTTAACTAGGATTCTACCATGAGGAAGAGGTTTTTTCTTCTCACTGTATTGAATCCATTTATTTGCATGAATGTGGACTTGCCAACAGGATACGTTGTCCTAGAATTTCTTTACTTTGGTAGGCTAATAGAAAAGAAATTATACTGATTGGCATAATTTGATATTTTTACTTCTGAGAGATTGGAAGGGCAGAAAACCATTTTATGTAAATGACCGATAGACTGCTTTTAATCAGTTGTGTTTCATACGGAGTTTTAAGAGTTTCTTACAGCTGAGCATGATGCTACATGCCTAAGGTTTTAGCATTTGGGTTGCTGTAAGGCAGGAGAATCGGGAGGTCAAGACTAGCCTGGAGATGTGAGATCTTACCTTTTAAAAAAAGTTGTTTTTTTTTTTTTTTTTTTTTTTTTTGGTAACCATCTATATCAGAAGAAGTCTTTTCTAGTGTGTGGCTTAAAATCTCATCCTCTTTAACAGTGTCTCTCACAGAGTAACAGTATTTATTTTAAGTTCAATGAAGGTAAACTTATCAATTATCTTATAGGTTATGACTGCTGTTTTATCTAAAAAGCCATTTGTATGTCCAAAATTATCCAACTTTAACACAGTGTCATCTTCTGGATTGTAAGGTTTGTGTTTTATATTTAGGATATGATTCAATTAAGTGTAAATTATTTCTGTGTACACTGTCTCCCCATTGTTAGGGAAGGCTCTCAGCAATTTGCTGGTGTAAGGTGTTGCCCAGTTCATGAAAGTTTTCTTAATTAAATAAACTGCCCAGTGTAATCTGTCTAGTGCGTTAGTTGAAGCTGAGGACAGCTTCACTTTTACCCCATACACGTGATTGGTCTCTCTCTATAGACATGATGCTGGCGGTTTTCTCAACACTCTCTAAGTAGAGAATATATTTATTCCACAGGAGTGACCTGTGCTTAGAAAAGGATTGACACTCATCTTTCTGGGTTTTACAGTAGTGGGAAAGGAAATTAGGGCAGTGTGCATGTGCGTGTGGGAGAGAACATTTATATTTGTAAATGTGTACTCCCTATCTCATATGTGTGTATCTCAGTCTCACCCACCTCCTACTCCCTATCTCATGTGTGTGTATCTTAGTACATCCAATTCTACTCCTTCTCCCTAATACATCTCCTTCTGTTGTGGCATAATCTTTTTATATACCATGAAGATGTGTCATTCTAATTGGTTTAATAAAAAAACACTAGCTGGGCAGGATTTTCAGTCACACAGGATGCTGGGAAGAAGAAGTGGGGAGCTGCCAGCCAGACGGAGAGGAAGCAGCATGGACAGTACAGATTAAAGGTAATAAAGCCACGAGACAGAAAGTAACATGATAAAAATAGGTTAATTTAAGTTGAAAGAGCTAGTTAGTAATAAGCCCAAGCTATCAGGCAAGCTTTTATAATTAATAAGTCTCCATGTCATTATTGGGAAGCCAGCAGTCTCAATGAAAAGGTCCAACTACAGCCTTCCCAGCTTCATGTCTTCATTGTGTTGTTTTTAAAGTTTTAAAAGTTGTATTTATTTTTATGTATGTGAGTGTTTTGCCTACATGTATATATAATATTCATTATGTACATGCCTGATGCCCATGGATATGAGAGAGGGCATTGGATGCCTTGAAACTGAATTTCAGATGGTTGTGAGCTGCCATGTAGATGCTAGGAACCAAACCTAGGATCTCTGCAAGAACAAGAAGTGCTCTTAACCACTGTGCCATCTCTATAGCCCCTTGTTTAAAAACAGTAAAAAATCTACAGAAAACAATTAGTAGGCATATGAGTTCATATGTGCGTGGATCCAAAGGAGCATGGCCAGCCTGTCAGGCCCGTCCATCAGCTGCCATTAGCACCTCAGCTTAGAGTGAAAGAGGGGTGTGGGGAGACAGTAGCACACCAAACTGTCTTTCTCATGATCCTTATTAGACGTTGATCAACCTTTTCTCATCCCTTCCCCACCTATGCTCCCGGGGCTCAGGGAACCAGCATTCTACTCTTCTTACATTCTGTGAGATAAAGATTTTAAAGATGTCACATATGAGATCATGAGATGCTTGTCTTTCTTTGCTTGGCTGTGTTCAGTTATTATAGTGATCTCCAGTTTAAAATATGTTCTCACAAAGAATAGTTCCATTGTTTTTTATGGTGAATAATAGTCTGTTGTATATATATGACACATTTCTTTTATGGACACTTAGGCTGTTTCTGTTTCTTAAAAACTGGCATTTTTAACTGGCTTGATACTATATAGGTCCATGTGCAGTTCACTGTAGTTCCAGGGAGTTGATGTGTGCAACAGCCATGTCATGTCTAGAAGTCAGCATTCCACATGCACTCAACACCAGCCTGAAGCTCTTAAACCCTTTCTGCTCTCTTCTGTATGTTCCACGAGCTCATTGGGAGGTAGATATAGATGTTCCCTCTGGCTGAATACTCACAGGGACTTATTTGAATAGCTAATAAGTCTCAGAGTTAACTACTGCCCTCTACAAGAAGCTTCTTTGACCAAGACTAAGACCATCACACATCCATGAATAAAAAAACACAAGTATTTAGAAGGCAATTTTATATTTTGTCTCTTTCACAAAGCAATACTCATAAATTCTCCCTAGGGCCTAAGACTTGTAGCCAGGTGATTTGATCGTGTTTACAGCACCAAGCATAAATTATCTTCTGTGGGGCAGGTCTCAAATTCCACTGAGAACATTTGGGTTAAACCTGCAACAGACTTGCTACAACTGCACTGGCGGGCACATTTTCCCTGGCACTGTAGCATGCATGGTTGAATGCTGGGAGATTTGCTGTGCACCTGTCATATCCCCACTCTGGTGAGGTGTAGTCCCTGGAAAAGATGTTCATGTCTCAAGTGTTGCATTCTCAGAATATGGGCTTCTTAGTGGTGGGAAGGTATTGGAGTTGACTAAACTGTATAAGATGTTGGAGTGTATGAGGTTGACAGCTACATCTTGTTGAAGATTTTGGCCTAGAAATGTTCCTTCCTCACTGTTGTGATGCGTATGTCTGTTAAAGCCATAAAATATCCTCAGATAAGTGTGGTTTTGGTTTTTTTTCCCTGATGTAGGATGTCTTTCTGCATGCTGTGAATATATGTTGTTTTCATTAGTTGATAAATAAAGCTGCTTTGGCCTATGACAAGACAGAAGCCAGGCCGGAAATCCAAATAGATAAGCAGGAAAAGAAAGGCAGACTCGAGAGATGCCAGCAAGCCACCCATAAAACAGGATGCCAGAACACCTAAGATAACGTCACAGCTGTGTGGCACTACACAGATGAATAGGAATGGGTTAATTTATATGCAAGATCTAACCAGTAATAAGCCTGAGCCATTGGCCAAACAATTATAATTAATATTAGCCTCTGAGTGATTACTTTATAAGAGGCTGCAGGGACTGGTGGGCGGGAGATAAACCAGTCCAGCGGGACTGGGTGGCACAGAGAAAAGAATCCAGCTACACTTTCCCATATTCTTTCCTGTCAGTCTAGAGAGGTAAAGGTATAAGCTGACAGCTGTAGCTGCTCACAGCTGGGTTAAACATTAATGCAGCTGTCACCACAACCCAGAGCAGCAGGCGTCCCAAAGCCAAGTGTCAGACCTGCCTGGTGCTCCTAGACTAAGGAGTGAGCTGCAGACATGGCTCACTTTGCGCAGGTCATGGCTGAAGTGGGCGACTTTGGTCGCTTCCAGATAAAGGTGGCCATCCTGATGGGCATCCCCAATTTCCTGTCTGCCTTCTTTGTGTTTAGTCAGGTCTTCATGGTTCTCGATGAGGCTCACCACTGCTCAGTGCCCTGGGTCAAGAACCACACTCTCAACCTAAGTGCTGCTGAGCAGCTGGCAGTAAGCATACCCAACGACACAGCGGGCAGACCTGAGTCCTGCCTCATGTTCCGGCCACCTCCTGACAATGCCAGCCTGGAAGACATCCTCAGCCACCGCTTCAATGAGACACAGGCCTGTAACTCAGGCTGGGACTATCCTGAGAACAGGCCTCCATCCCTAAAGAATGAGGTAGGAGTGCCTATTGTCTGTGTGTCTTGTGTGGGGTCTGTCCGTTCTCTGATCTTGGGCCTCTTTGGGTTGTACCTATTTTCTCCTTTGCCAGTCATCCTGGTCCATTGCCCTTGCTGGGCATCACAGGGCAGACTACAACCTTGTACCCAACCTTGGACTCTGTATGCTGCTTGTTTGCATATGCCATTCTCATGTTCTCTGTATGCTCTGCTGCCTCCCCCCTTTTTGCATGTCCTCTTGTCTGTATCTTTTGGCTTGTCTCTCTGTCTGTCCATCTGCCTGCCTGGATTTTCTACACTCTTCTCCCTACCTGCTATTCTCTGTCTATTTCATAAGAACTGCCCCCGGCCTCCCATCTGTCCTGACTTAAGCTGTCTCTTTTCACTTTTGTTCACCCACCTAACTGCATGCCCACGGTGCTTTACTGCTTTTCAACTTGTACTTAGTTCTGTACATGCATGCTTGCCTATGTCAGAAGTCAACATATATGATATTCCATAAAATTTTAAATATTCTGTGTTCAATGAATTCACCGTGGTGCCAAGGCTGGCCTTGGCAAACAGTGAGGAAACCGCAGGGTTTAGATGATAAAGTTGGTCCTGGCTGCTATGCCTAGTCTTACATACCCTATTTCCATTTCAGTTTGACCTGGTGTGCGATCGGAGGAACCTGAGGAGGACTTCACAGTCGGTGTTCATGGCTGGCCTCCTCGTTGGGGCCCTCGTCTTTGGGCCAATCTGTGACTGGTAAGTGCTGCTAATCCAGGGTGCTTTAAGCTCCTGGTCCCGACTCAGTTACCCCCTGGAGACTTGTTAGCCATCAAGATATGTCTTCATGCCTGCCTTCCAATGGGGCTCCATGGAAGATCCCGTCTCCCCTCTGACAGAGCTGAGGACAGGCCTGCCTGGGTCTCCCTTGATTGAGTCCTGGGCAGGCCTCCTCCCTTCACAACCTGTCTCTCTGTTACCTCAGGATTGGCCGCAGAGCCTGCATTCTGGTGCAGCTGTTTATGTCAGGCATCATAGGCGTAGCCACAGCCTTCGTGCCCAGCTTTGAGCTCTACATGACGTTCTGCTTTCTCTCAGCGACTGCTGTCGCTGGATACATGATGAGCACCATGATCCTTAGTGAGTATCTGGGCCCCCAGCCTTCAGGTGCAGTCTGAAATCTGAGCTCTCGAGAGCCCTGAACAGCCTGTGGGGATAGTTTCACTCACCTATACCTAAGGAGGTCATGGCAGAGCTTCCTCTGCTGGGAAGGTGCACGGCACTTAAACAAGATACCATCAGGTCATCAGCAGTGCATGAATGGGCAGATTCCAGCCCAGGCTCATTCTTTGTTCTCAGTTTCAGAATGGGTGGGGCCGTCCTGGAGAACAAGAGCCATGGTCCTGTCCCAGAGCAACTTTGCCCTTGGCCAGATGGTGCTAGCAGGCCTGGCCTATGGTGTCCCCAACTGGAGACTGCTTCAGATCATAGGCACCGCACCCGTCTTCCTGCTCGTCTTCTACTTCTGGTAGGGAGGCCCTTGCCAGCGATGGGCCACCCTTTGTTGGGAGTGCCATGCCAGGGTGTAGGACACAGAAGAGGGAGCCCGTGGGGCTTGGGTGGGAGGCTCATTGTTCTCTGGAATTCTGGGTGGCTGCACTGGGCTCAAGACCCCAATATCAGAGCCATGTATGGTTGACAGGGTTTTGCCAGAATCTCCACGGTGGCTCCTCTCCAAAGGAAGGATAGAGGAGGCCAAACAACTGATCCAGAAGGCAGCCTCGGTGAACAGGCGGTCCCTTTCTCCAGAACTCCTGAGCCAGGTACCTGTCAGCAGGCACAGGTTCCCCTGTCTCAGGCATCTCTACTCTTGTGTCCCGGCCCCTCACTCTGCCCTTCTTCTAGCTGATCCCTGAGAAGACAGGTCCCTCGGGAAATGCGCTGGATCTTTTCAGACACTCCTATCTCAGGAAGGTGACACTGATTCTCATTGCTGTCTGGTAAGTGTCCAGGGCCTTGTCCCTCAGTGAGGACAGAGTCAGAGGATGTCTCTCGCTCTGCTGTGTGTCACTGGAGTGGTGGACAGAGGCTCGGTGAATGTGGTGATCTCTCCCCAGGTGTGAGTTCATTAAGTTAGGCTGTTCCTTTGGGTTTGACTTGATGTATACCTTGCAGTAACAAGGATATTGGGTACTTTGTAGGTTTGCGGACAGTCTGGTGTACTATGGCCTTAGCCTCCAAGTGGGGGACTTTGGCTTGAACATCTACCTGACACAGCTAATATTTGGAGTAGTGGAGGTGCCTGCCCGTTTTTCCAGCATCCCCATAATGGAGAAGCTGGGTCGCAAGTGGAGCCTGTTAGGTTCCCAGACTCTGGCGGGCACTATGTGCATCATCATCATCTTCATCCCAGCAGGTACCAGGCTGTCTTCCTCCCTGCCAGGGCTACCCCCATTGCTCCCACACCACTACGGGTTCCCCAGGGTTTGAGCATAGAGGGTGAGACACTTGAGTGACAGGGAGGTGTGTGGGCTTAGGTGATGGTGTCTTCCCCCTGTGTGGCTGACCTTGACTCTCCTCCAGGTCTCCCCACAGTGGTCACTGTGCTGGCTGTGGTGGGGAAGTTTGCCTCATCTTCTGCCTTCACCGTATCCTATGTGTACACTGCTGAGCTCTACCCCACCATCATCAGGTAAGCACTGCCCTGGGGATCTAATACCACCCATTCCTCTGGGGATCTAATACCACCCATTCCTCTTGCCCTCTGCTACCAACCACAGGCAGCCAGTGAGCTGCCTATGAATCTAGGCCACTGAAGAGTTTGTCCACTCACTGAGTCACCACAGGACACTGGAGGACCAATAGGCATGGGCATGCCCTGGCCGTCTCTGGACCAGAATGTAGGAGAGAAGTCAGAGTGAAGGTGTGGCCCAGGAGAGGACGCTCGGAAGTGGAAAAGGCATTTGGGTCTCTAGAGGTGACAGGAGAGCAGCAGAGAGGGCTTGCTGCTTCAGGAAGCAGGCAGAATAGGCAGGCACGGTGGCTGAGACCTGGGCCCTGGCATCTCTGGAGTGGGTGTAGCCTGACCCGTGACCAGAGAGCCTGAGCTTGTGCTGCTTTCCCCAGGCAAACAGGCATGGGGCTGGTGAGCATCTTCTCCAGGATTGGCGGCATCATCACACCGCTCGTGATGCTGCTGGAGCAGTACCACAGGGCTGTCCCCATGGTCATCTTTGGCAGCTTCCCCGTCGTGGCAGGCCTACTGTGCGCTCTGCTGCCTGAGACGCGGGGCCAGACCCTGAAGGACACCATCCAGGACCTGGAGAAGGGGTGCTCCCCACGGTGAGCGTTGACTTGCTAGACCTCATTAGGGCCAGGCTTCCCCATCACCATTACCCCTTTATTGCTTACTCATTGCTTACTGGGCGACATGGTGCCTACTTCATGCCACAGACTCTTATTGTAGGTATTGTCCTCCTACAGATGTTGATGGGAACTCCTCGTAGGAGCTCATCCGAGACTGCCACTGACTGCTGTTTCTCCTTGCAGGTCCTCAGTGAAGCAGTCCCCCAAGAAAGAAATGGTGTCTGAAGGAAGAAATCCTCTTCCCACGAGTACCGTTGACAGTGCTTCTTCCTCCAATTGTGGTTGTTAGGGGTGTGTTCATTTACAACAACAGATCACACAGTGTCTCTCTATCCCTGGGGTCTGTTTCGAGGTTGGGACAAGACCAACTTGTTGTCAATCAGACCAGCCTCCCTGCTTAGCTCTCCTAACTATTGTCCAGTACGTGTTTGAGTTACAGTCCTTTGTCACTGCGTGTCTTTGTCTTTGCCTCCTGGTGTCTGTTCTGTGTCCTGGTGAGTAGGATCACAGAGGAAGAAGTATATGCAGATGGCAGATGTCACAACACAAACCAGGACTCAGGGAAATGCCAGTGACAGTCCCTCCTTGGTCCCACCAGTTTTCGCATTGTCACATCTGGGCCAAATGTCCAAGATGTGAACCCCTGGGGAACACTGTGAAACCATTGCCAGCGTGTCTCAGATTGTTGATAAACCTCCCTCTTTACACTTGGTCACTCTCTTGTCAGGTGGGCGTGAGCAGGGCTGTACTGTACACTGTGCAGCCAGTCATGAATATTTCGTACTGTCCTTTTTTGAAATCATGGACAAACATGTTCTTCAGCTTCCTACCGTTACCATCCTGAGTTCCCTGCTGTATGTCCCTTTAATAAGAAGAGAACCTGCAACAATGGAGGACTGCAGTTTAAGGCTGAAACTGTTTGCTTCTCTGTGTGATGTGATGTGTGCCCCCCTTGGCAATGGTACTCACTCCTGGGAAAAGACTTAAAGGGATCCTTTATTGACATTACAACATTACAAGGATGTTCCTGTTGCTTTTGTTTGTGTTGTTTGTGTTGTGGTATGAGCTGTATTACCAGCCAGCCTTTGGGGTCTCTGTAGACATTATCTTTTCCATTTCTTAGGGATTGCATGTCTGGGGAGGAGAGTTTTTACTGTGCAATGGTCATGCAGTTCTTAGGCCCTCGAAAACAATTCACAGGAGGAATACAGGTGTATGAGACTTTGTGCCAAAGGATCCCTAAGATACTATATGCAGAGCTCAATGGACCATTCAAGTAGGCACTTGTAAGACAAAAAAGCCAAGAGAAACCAGGTAGTCTCCCTCAACTTGAGAGGTTTCAAAGGCAAAGAAAGACTCCCCTGCGAATTGGCTGGATATCTGTGATGATAACACTCTCTCCAAGAGTTTGACTACATTCTCTCCCCCGAGAACTTGTGCGAAACTGAACACAAACACATTTTTTTCTTTCAGAGATTCCAGCCAGTGCACACTATCAGGCTTTAAAGTAGCTATTGCTCACGTGTTCACATCTACAGTGTGCATGAGCAGAAAGATAAGAAACGTGACCTTAGCACTATTAAAGAGCAACCCAATCTCTTTCCTAAGACAGTAAGACAGGTAGTCTTAAAACTGAGTCCTCACCTACGAAAGACTGGGATTTGTGAAAATACAAGTTCATTCAAAGGAAGAGCCTGCACTAAGACACTGAAGGAGTTTTCTGCTCAGAAACTGCGAAATAAATGCTCCTCCAAGGGTGAGCATGCAGAGGTCACTGCAGGCTACACCTCTCATCCAAGGGGGCTAGGCTACATCTCAAGCTGGCTGCAGGACTTGGCAGCATCATATACATGGTACAGGTTCTGTAAGCACAGACGATACAGATAGGAAGAGACTCGGAGTCTTTAAGCAAGGTTCCAGAAAGCTTCTGAGGCCAAGTAGGATTCCCTCCAAGGAGGCTCCTAGGGACCATTACAAATGTCTGAGGGTGAAGAAAGCAGTAGACACGAGAGAAGAAGCAGCTCAAGTGAGAAGTTCAGGGTGGAGGGTGGGGCCACATACGGCCATTGCTGGAGCTCAATTGGGTGTTCTTGTAAGTGTCCTGGTCTTGGTCTGCTGTTGGGTAAAGGGTCTGTCTTTACCAGTAGCTAATTGAAGGTCATATCAGTTTGTTGATCATATCCTCTAGCCATGACATGGCCACAGCAAAGCAGCTGGGATTCCCAGTGTGAGACATGACAAGAGAGGCCCTACTCAACCTGAGATTTCAGCTCCTACACCTCTTCCAACTTGTGTTACATAATCTGTCCCTAGTGTATGTGGCCTTGGGAGGTGCTAGAGTATGCAGAAGGGTGAAGGTTCACATAGTTCGGGCTCTGTTTATACAGCTATTAGGCTATCACTCATCTAGGATTGGACTTTTCAGTATGCAATGGTTGAAGCTTATCCACACCTGTAACACCTCATGCATGACCTGCTTAGTAAATAACTCACTAGTTTATCAAAGTGGATTTGGGTGGATTCTTTCTCTGTTTTAGGCATGGTGGTCTCTAGTGTGAACAGATGTTTGCTCATCCCTCCCTAGGAAAATAATGACATAGTGTGTTCTTGTCTGTATCTTGATGGGCACAGCAGAAGGGGCTATATAGGGAAAGACATGGCTAGCATGTGGTAGGCCATACCTGTCCTCAGGGCGCCGTTGAAGAGAAAATGGCCCCAAATTCGGGGCATGATAGCAGTAGGTCTGCTGCGCAGTTCTGTGGTTGTCATTGTTGAAGCTGGTACAGGATTCAGGAGTCTCCCCAATCCAGATGGCAGAGTTTCTATTTTATAGTGGCAATTTCACCTAGTGTGGTGGTCTGACTAAGAGTGACTCCCATAGATGTATATTTGAGTGCTTAGTCACGGGTGGGGTGGGGTGGGGGGGGGGCATAGAATTGTTTGAGAAGGATTAGGGAGGTGTACCCTTGTTGGAGGAAGTATGCCACTAGAGTGGGCTTGGAGTTTGCCAAAGTCCCAGTTTCTATCTTTATTCCCCCATCTCCGCACCTGGAGATCCAGATGTAAGCATTCAGCCCCATGCCTGGCTGTCTGTTGCCATGTTTCCTATCATGATGATAATGGACTTATTTTCTGAAACTGTAAGCCAGCCCCCATTAATTTTTTTTTTTGTAAGAGTGGTGTGGCCATGATGTCACCTCACAGTAATAGAACAGTGATTTAGACAGCTAGCATGATGCACAAGGTCCTGGGCATTATTTCTAGCAATACAAACATACACAGTAACGGGTGATTTTGTATGTCCTCTCGGGTTCTGATCTTGGATGCCCTGACTAGAGTTTAAAAGCAAAGGGGTCTAGTAGTCTAACCTCCCACCCAGAGATTAAGATCATTGCCCTGCTGTTCTGTGGATCTTGAGTTCTCAAGATGAATACTTACAGCAAAATAAACATAAAGTTCTGTAGCTTTTCTATAGTAGGAAACATGCTGAGAGAACAGGAAAATCAAGGAAGCACACACACACAATCTTGGCAAAGACTGCAGGACTGCTGCAATGAAAAATTTAAGGCATTGAAGGAAGAACTTGAAGGAGACAGTAGAAAATGGAAAGATGCCTCATGCTCCTGGATCCGCAGGATTGACATTTTGAAAATGGATATATACTGGGCTTAGTTTATAGTTCATTTCATCTTTCACAGAATTTTTTGAAAGTCTAACATTCATATGGAAGCACAAAAGACCATGATTAGCTAATACTCCCTGAGCAGAAAGCAAAGCTGGAAGTGTCATTGTGTAAACTGAGGTAATAGAGCAGAGAGCCCAGATGTAACCCATGCAGCCATAGCCACATGGTTCTTGACTTCAGTACCAAAAATGTAGATTACAGAAAGTCTCTTCAATTGATGGCGCTGGGAAAGCTGGGTTTGACAAGCTGACTAATAAACCAAGTACTTATTTCTCACTCCTTTTGTACATTGTGAAAATGTATTGCTCTCATTGTTAATAAAAAGCTGATTGGTAGCTAGAAAGTACTGCCACATAGCAGAGAGTAGATAAGAAATATGGGTCAATTTAAAATGTACGAGTTAGCTAGTAATAAGCATGAGCTACCAGCCAAGCATTTATCATTAATATTAAACCTCTTTGTGGTTATTTGGGAGCAGCTGCCGAGACACACGAGAAATTCTGTAGTGGCATTTCAGCTGTATTTTAATAAATAAAGACTGCCTGAAGATCTGAGAGTAAAACAGTCCCACTGGTCAGCCTTATAGACTAGGTTATGGTCACACACACCTTTAATCCCAGTAGCCACACTAGTTGCCATAGAAATCGGGTCGTACATGCCTTTAATCCCAGCCCTAGAGAGGAATATCAAATGGGGTGAGACAGCTCTCAGGCGCAATCTCCTGAGATTCCTGGAGGCAGATTGCCATTTTGGACTGAGGTTGAGGTAAGAGTCAGTGGTTGGCTGCATTGCTTTTCAGATCTTCGGGTTGAACCCCAATTTTCGACCCTGCGTTTTTATTCATGCTTCAAAACTCTGCCTGCGTCATTCTGTATGAAAATTAATTCAAAATGGTTCAAAGACCTTGTAAGACCTGAAGGCCTGCTAAGACAAGAGGAAAATGTAGAACAAACACCTCAAGATATAAGTATAGGCAAGGAATTTCCAAAAAGGACTCCACCAGTAGTACAAGGAAAGGTTACAAGAACTGACAAATGGGATTGTTCGGCTTTTAAAAGCCCCTGCATAACAAAGGAAATGATCAACCGGAAGAAAACAGCCTTGTGCTGTATGCATATCAGACGGGACGATTATTCATAATATATAAAGAACTAAAATCACGTCCTTTCCCCCAAAAGAGCAAACATTAGATGTGCAAGTAAATTCAAAGGAATTTCTCAAAATATATATAAATACATGAAGAAATATCCTTAGCCACAAGAAAGTTAAATCAAAACTACATTGGGTTTATGCTTCATCCACTTAGAATGACTATCATCAAGAAAGCAAGCCACAACGAATGCTAGTGATCACGTGGGGAAAGGAGCCTTTCTACACATGACTGGTGGGATCAATGTGGAGGGGCCAGTGTTCAGTGTGTTGGGCACACAATGATGTGATGTGAGCACCAAGGATTTGGACAGCTTTGTCCTTACAGCCTTGCTGTCTGTATCCCACATGACCACTACTCTGTGTGTGTGGCTTTCCTTAACAGTTCATCCTCCAGCCATCTTTAAATTCCTGGGGTCTCCATTACATACAGCCTTGGTATCTTCCTCATGGCTTAAGTTATTGCTTATTGCCTGTACAGACTTCAACCCCAAAACACATAGTGAACTAAAGGCATTTTGCATTATGTTATGGTTACAAGCCCATGGGAGCCAGGGAGTGGAGTGTGGAGGTTTGAATGAGTATGGTCCCCCAAAGACTCATGTGTTTGAATGCTTGACCCATAGGGAGTGGCACTATAGGTGTGGCCTTGATAGAGTAGGTGTGTCACTGTTAGGGCAGGCTTTGTGCCTTCACATGCTCAAGCCACGCTCAGTGTGGGAGACAGTTCCTTTCCAGTTGCCTGCAGAGCAAGATGTAGAATTCACAGCTACCTCTTCAACACCATGTCTGCCCGCATGCTGTCTTGCTTCCCACCATGATGATAATGGACTAAACCTCTGAAGTTATAAACCATCCCCTATTGAATGTTTTCCTTTATAAGAGTTGCCATGGTCATGGTGTCCCTTCACAGCAATAGAAACCCTAACCAATGCACATAGCCTGGCCTCATAGACTTTTCTTGACCCCCATGATCTGGTAACTTTCAAATTCTGTATGATGACGAAGCCGGGGCCGTATAGATTATTTCAAGCTCTGCCACCACCTGTAGAGGTAATTGGTCCTCCTCTGACCATGGCTGAAGTGACCTTTCAGGTCTTGAGTGTCTGAGCACACCAACGCATTGCCTTAGGTTGCTCTGTATAAGGAGGGCATCCTAACTTTCTCTTCTTGAAGTAAAACCTTTCAAATGAGTTTACAGACTTATACCCTTGAGCCTGGAGTGGGAGGGGCCAATCCTTAAGCAGCTCTCAAGGCATCTTTCTCATCGTTCCAATGAAAAGAACTTGGCTTCCTTTAGTGGCATTAATCTCTCAATATCCACACCATTTAAAGTGTGGCCCAACATTAAATGATTTTTACTGGTCAAAGTTTTTCAAATCTTTATACCTGAGCTTGTATTCCTAATTCCCACAGTAAACTCACCTGAAAGCAGCCAGCCAGCAATACATACCAATGTCATTGCCCAAATATGTGGTCCTGTGACATTTCCTCTGCCAATTCAACATCACAAAGTCACAGAACAGATTAAATATAGACAAGCTTCTACCTGCTTTCCAGAATGTGACCTGGATGGATTCTGGTCTGGTCTCTCATGCTTCTCTCCTGTCAGGAGCCCCATGAGCACAGCCTTTCCTCTCTGTTCCTATCACATACTGGTCTTTGGTACTCTTGACAAACTGATCCACAAAGATGTTTACAAGAAGACTGCTTATTTGCATCCCTGAACCTTCCCACCATCGTCAGCAAAGACTTCTAAGCCTCTTGATCAGATGCTGTAGCAGCCACTCTCCTGGTTCTCAATGCCAGCTTTTGGCGCTCGTCAGCTTTCTGGGCTGTGACAACATACTTGACGGGAGTAACTTAAGGGACGACAGGTTTATTTTGGTTCATGTTTTTAGAGGCATCCTGGTCACCAGGCTGTTTTTGTGCAGTCTGGTAGTGAAGCCAGAGAATATGACAGAAGGGAGTGCTGGGACAAGGCTGCCAGCTTCATGCTATCCTGGAAGCACAAGGATGGAGAAACATAGGGGCTGCAGTATCTCCTCCAAAGTCATGCCTTATATCACTCCCTTCTGTCAAGTAGGCCCCGGCCCCTAAAGGTTGCACTTCCTCTCAGTGTACCCTCAGGTGGACACCAAGCCCTCAACCGATGAGACCGCCATAGCATTACAATAGGCAGAGCTTAACAAGACTGGATTAAACATTAATGCAGCTGTCACCACAGCCCAGAGCAGCAGGCGTCCCAAAGCCAAGTGTCAGACCTGCCTGGTGCTCCTAGACTAAGGAGTGAGCTGCAGACATGGCTCACTTTGCGCAGGTCATGGCTGAAGTGGGCGACTTTGGTCGCTTCCAGGCACAGGTGACCATCCTGATGGGCATCCCCAATTTCCTGTCTACCTTCTTCGTGTTTAGTCAGGTCTTCATGGTTCTCGATGAGGCTCACCACTGCTCAGTGCCCTGGGTCAAGAACCACACTCTCAACCTAAGTGCTGCTGAGCAGCTGGCAGTAAGCATACCCAACGACACAGCGGGCAGACCTGAGTCCTGCCTCATGTTCCGGCCACCTCCTGACAATGCTAGCCTGGAAGACATTCTCAGCCACCGCTTCAATGAGACACAGGCCTGTGACTCAGGCTGGGACTATCCTGAGAACAGGCCTCCGTCCCTAAATAATGAGGTAGGAGTGCCTATTGTCTGTGTGTCTTGTGTGGGGTCTGTCCGTTCTCTGTCTGATCTTGTGCCTTTGATGCCTTCTGTTGCTCTGTTTCTGCCTTTACGCTTGTATGTAGCCAGCTGTTGCCTGTCCCCCCTTTTCTCTTCAGCCTTTGTTTCTGTTTGTCCTCTGTCTGTTGGCCCATCTCTCACTCTCTGTTTTTCTCTGCCTGCTTTGCTTGTTGTCTATCACTGTTTCATTTTTCGCCTGTTCTTTTGTGAACCTGGTGGCATCAAGGTACCTATAAACTGTTTACAGAGAAGAGGAAATATTTTACAGAGAAGAAAAACAAGAGAAAGACTGGTCACAGGCAATAGATGATGTCTGGGAGCCGAATCCAACTCTGGTGCAGTAAACAAGAGGGCCTAGGCCACAGCGACCAGACGGGAAGTTTGCTATGATTCATAATCTCTGTTCTCTTACAAACTCAAGCACATAACCCAATTTCTCCTCCAGCTATCCCAGTATCCCCGGGCCCTTGGAAAGCACTCTTGTGTCAGGCTGTTCTCATTTCCAGAACGGAAGGATTAAGGCATCTTTGGAGGAAATGACTTAGCCCAGGACGTATAGGAAGCTGATCGTGGAGCCAGGCTGCTATGCTGAGTCCCCGGTGTCCAGCTCTGCCTTTTTATTTTTTTCCAGCAAAGAAGCACATGTGGGGGGTCTAGAAGCCCAAGGCTGCGGGCTCCTGAGGGGGATTTCTGCATTCTCATCACGTTTATGGTTGTAGATCTTGAGCCCACAGATTAAACATTCACTCCCCAACCCCACACACACTTGGAAGAAAACATCCGTTTTGAGAGGCCTCTGGAGACAGCGTTTTAACCAAAGTGAAACATTCACTTTTTTCAGATGGGACTATAATCTTTCCATGTCTGCGAGTCCGTCCTTTCTGGGATTCTCCTCCTTCTGTCACCCTCCCCCCCTTACCCAGGGGAACTAGGTTACCTTAAGGACACTCCTTACCACTGGATCTAGCTCAGCCTGGCCTGAAGACTCTAGGCCTCTCCATGACTTCCTGGCATCACCTTGTAGGAGGTTATTACCTTGACTATCCCTCAGAAGTTTGGAGAATGCTTATACTTGCACAGAGTTTCTCTGCTCACCTGGCAAACAGCAGCATCTTTAAGGCCCAGTGAACCTTCCAGATTGCCCTGAGTCTACTCTAAGCCTTATCCACTGCATGCACTGAACTATTATGCAATTTCACTCAGCCAAACCCTAGCCACAGGCTTGAATCCTCCTGGCCTTAAAGCACCTAGGAGTCTGCTACAGACCCTCCACCTAGCACCATTTCTCAGTTTCCTCTATCCCCAGCCTTCAGCTGGGCCCTTCACTGTCAGCTTCCAAGTCTACACTACACACAAAAGGCACATAGCTGAAAGGGAACAATGGCTGAAATCATGAGCTCAATTCATTTGGTTTATCTTTGTTTTTAAGTTATTTTATTATTTTATGTGTATGGGCGTTTTGCTTGTGTGTGTGTATGTGTGCCATTTGCATGCCTTGTGCCTGTAGAGACCAGAAGAAGGCATCAGAATCTCTGAAGCTAGAGTTATAGGTGATTTTGAGCTTCCATGTGGTGTTGGGAGTCAAGAGTAGGCAGTGGTCTTCACTGCTGAGCCATATCTCCAGGTCCCAATGCATTTGTTTTTAAAATACATTTACTTTCTCTCTCTCTCTCTCTCTCTCTCTCTCTCTCTCTCTCTCTCTCTCTCTGTGTGTGTGTGTGTGTGTGTGTATGTGTATGTGTGTGTGTATGTGTGTCTTGAGGGCTGGTCATAGCATGCATTTGGTCAGATAAATAACTTGAAGAAGCCAGATCTATTGCTATAAGAGTCCTGGGTACTGAACTCAACTCTTCAAGTTTAGTAGCAAGTATCTTTAGCCCATGATCCATTTTGCAAGCCTATATTTTGGTGTTTGAAAAAGTTTAATCCCCCAAGGTCAGCCTGGTATATAAAACAAGTTCCAGGACTGCCAGGACTGTTGCACAGAGAAACCCTGACTTGGAAAAAAATAAAAAGAAAAAGTTTAATCCTTTTCTTCGTCAGTGAAAGAAGTTAGAAGTTAGCTTCTCTCTCCAACAGCCAGTAGCCAGCAGATTCCATTGAAAAGTAGCTGTACAGAACCTCTTGGGAACGAGGAGAGGCAGGACGGGAGTCATCCACTTTAATGAATCCACCACACGCTGGATCTGCTCATGGGAGACAGAAAATGGAACGCGTTGTTAAATGATGGTACCCACCAGAAGCTCGTCTTTGGCCCTGGAGGCTCCATGGCATTGGCTCTCGCTCACCGTAGATGGACACACTGGGTCTTTCCGTGTTCCTCAGAATAGTCTCCGTATGTTTGACCCTGTTCTGGCAAGGCCCAGCTTCTGAGGAATCTCTGACGTGATGGCCTTGTGTGTCTTCTTGACATGCTTCTCAGTCAGAGAGGTCATCCCTAAGATCAGTCTGGTTCCTCGCATCAAGTAAACAATGGGACAGTGGCAAACTTCCATTTCTTTTACAGTTTTGAATGAGCACAAAGAGATCATTGAAATATACCTGTTGGCAGTTACTCAGCCACGACAACTCCCCATAGCCTTCTTGTCCTGGTATATCAAAAAAAAAAAAGCAAGATTCTATGACTTTTCACTAACCCTCAGCTGCACAGATACCAAAAAAAAAAAGCCAGCACAGGGTCAGCAAGATGGCTCTGCAGAATGATGGCTCAGTTGCCAAGCCTGGTGACTCAATCAATACAATAGACAGACGGAATCAACAATTGTCACTTGTCCTCTGACCTCCATATACATGCTATGGCATGCACACGTGCACACATGCACAGGCACACACACATGATAGATGAGAAGAAAAAAACAGCATGTCCTCACATGGAGACTGGGATGTTGGATTGGATGTCAGGATGTTATCATTTCTCAAAACAACTTGTTTGATAGTCTATGTCCTGGTCATTTGGAAATAGTGACCCCTTTATTGAGCAATTGTCTAGAGCAGACCAGCCTGTGGACATGTCTCTGAGGCATTTAGTTTATGTGAGAGGGCCCAGCCCACTCTTGGGAGAACCATTCCTAGGCAGGCTGACCTCAGCTATGTAAGAAAGATAGCCAGGAACAAGTCAGTTAGCAGCGCTTCTCCAGGTCTCTATTTCAGTCCTTACCTTTAGAGTTCGACCTTGGCTTCTCTTAGTTATGGGCTGTAACCTATAAACCAAGGAAGCCATTTCCTCCACAAGCTGTTTCTGGCCACAGAAAAGCAAAATTGGTACCAGACAGAATTATTGCCATCCTGGACCTATGTTGGGTCCTTTGGGGATTGTGGAAGATTTTGGAACTTCAAGTTGAAAAACCATCAACTGCTCAGAGCTTAACGGACTGTTCTATGGGAGCTTGGAAGATGAGAATGTTGAGAGAAATGCAGGAGGTGAATGCATGGCTTGTGAGGTTTCAGAGGGAAGCAAAAACTTTTATGGTTGTGTAAGATTAAGAATGTATGGAAATGAAACCTTTGCTTTACTGGGACAATGGATGCTGGTCAGCTGGGACTAAAAAGTCAACTATTATTAATAGAGATTACTTGTAGTGTGAATTCGAGTTGGTCTTAACAATAAAAACCCAGAGTCAGATATCAGGGTAAATGCTGGAAGATCAAAAAAATAAAGGATCCAATCACTGGAGAGACTTCTTACCTCTACCAAATCCTCAGACCAAAGAGGAAAGACTTGTGTCTACAAATCCTCAGACTAAATGGGGCTGAACTCCTATCTCCTCCTGCCTTATACTCCCCTCTCTGCTCAGTCATATCCCTTCTGTCTCCACATCCCTAGTGCTAGGATTAAAGGCATGTGCCTCCCAAGTACTGGAATCAAAGGCATGAGATCCCAAGTGCTGAGATCGAAGGTGTGTGCCACCACTGCCTGGTCTCTATGGTTAACTAGTGACTAGCTCCACCCTCTGATCTTCAGGCAAACTTTATTTGTTAGAGAACAAACAAAATATCACCACAATTAATTTTATTAAGGTGAAATCTTTTGCAAAGTATTTCCTCAGAGTCAGCACAGAGAAGCTATGATCTGGGGGTGGGGTTGAGGGCCATGGCTGCATCTCCAGTTGGTAGATAAACTTGACCATATGTAAGAATCTTCCATGTGGTTCTGATTTTGAAGGCATGAGAGATACAAGATTGAGGGGTTCATGAGGAGCAACTCAAGCCTGGAACCATTTGACAGTATTGGAGTCCCTACAGAAAATTCAGGAGAGGTCATTGGTGTAGGTTAGCCTCAGTTGCAATGGAGAGCTCAGGATTGAAGGGGCTATGGAGAGAAGCTGACACTTGGCACCATGAGGTACAATTGGAGTCCTAGCAGAACAGCCAAGAGAAACCACTGGTGAAGGGACAGCCTCAGTTGCAGAGGAGGTCTCGGAATATTGACAATACCAGGAGCATGGAATGAGCGTCATCAAGGAGAGCAGCATGCATGGTGTAGAGCCAGCCTGAGCCTATAAGACAAGCAGTGTGTGTTCTGGATGGTGGAGCATAGGAAGCAGGGCTTCCCAAGCCACCTGGAGCCTAAAAATTCATGAGTGAGTTCCAGATGTCGGACATCCAGTTCCTCACGCTGTTGGATTTAGGCTTTGATTTTCCTATGCCCTGGTTTTTCTCTTTGGGAAGTAAGGAATTATATAACTTGTTTTTTATTTTACAGAAGCCCACAGTTAAGAGAATTCAGGTTTTTTAAAGAGACATTGTACTTTTAAAACCCTAGAATTTTTTAAAGCCTGGGAGTTTTAAAGTTGTCCTGTTTTTTTTTCTTGTTTTGATATTGATGTAAGATCTTGGGGACAAACAAAAAAGGAAAGTTATAGTTTAACATGTGATGTGTTGATGCATTAGGTTGAAAGTGTCCTGGCTAGTTTTATTGTCAATTTGACACCAGTGAAATTTAACCTGGGCAGTAGTGGCCCACATGCCCTTAATCCCAGCACTTGGGTGGCAGAGGCAGGAAGATCTCTGTGAATTCAAGGCCAGCCTGGTCTATAAGAGCTAGTTCTAGGATAGGCTCCAAAGATACAGAGAAACCCTATCTTGGGGGGAAAAGTGTGTTGTGGGAGGGGACAAAGAAAGAAACCAGTGAAATTTACCTAAAAATAAGGATCCTCAATTGAGGAATCGTCTAGGTCAATTGCCCTGTGGACATATCTGTGGGGGCATTTTTTATTGCTAATTGATATAGGAGGGCCCCGTCCACTGTGGGCAGTGCCACCTCTAGGAGGTACTCCTGAGCTGTGTAAGAAAGGTACCCGAGAGCCTGGGAGCTGGCTGGTAAGCAGCATTGTTCCATTCTGCTTCAAGGTGCTGCCCTGAGTTCCTGACTTGACTTTCCTCGATGGGACTGTAACCTGTAAACTGATACTCCCCCAAGTCACTTTTGGTCTCATGGTGTTTATCACAGCCACAGAAAACGAGCTAGGTCTGCTTGCTGTCCTGGAATTGTTTGGTATCCACTTTACATACTTCAGATTTGACATCCAGCTCAGCTTCTTCACTGTGGTATTGACCAATCAGAGGTCTCTCTCATTCCCTCTGTTTTATTTATTCATTCGTTTGTTTGTTTGTTTTTCAAGACAGAGTTTCTCTGTGTAGTCCTGGCTGTCTTGGAACTTGCTCTGTAGTTCAGGTTGGCCTCAAACTTAGAGATCCACCTGCCTGTGCCTCCTGAGTGTTGAGATTAAAGGTGTGCACCACCACCACCCCAACTTCAGAGATCTCTCTCTGTTGGCAGAGACTACTCGTTCATTTCCCAGACACCTAGACCAGAAATAATCACATAGAAATTATATTAATTATAACACTGCTTGGCCAATACCTTAGGCTTCTTATTAAGTAACTTTTACATCTTAAATTAACCCATAATTCTTCTTTGTGTTAGCCACGTGGCTTGGTACCTTTTGTCAGTGAGGCATTCTCATCTTGATTCCTCTGTGTCTGGGTGACGTCTGCAGACTGAACCTTTCCTCTTCCCAGAATTCTCCTATTCTGGTCACCCTGCCTATACTTCCTGCCTGGCTACTGGTTCATCAGCATTTTATTAAACCAATACAAATGATATATCTTTACAGGGTACTTTCTCTCTCTCTCTCTCTTTCTTTCTCTCTCTCTCTCTTGTATTGGTTTTATTAAACCAATACAAAGATATATCTTTACAGGGTTCTCTGTCTCTCTCTCTCTTTCTCTCTCTCTCTCTCTCTCTCTCTCTCTCTCTCTCTCTCTCTCCTGTCTCTCCCCCATCTTTCCCCCTCTCTCTTTGGTTTTTTTGTGGCAGGGGATTTCTGTAGCTTTGGAGCCTATCATGGAACTAGCTTTTGTAAACCAGGCTGGCATCAAACTCACAGAGATCCACCTGCCTCTGCTTCCCGAGTGCTAGGATTAAATGTGTGCACCACCACCACCTGGCTCAGAGGCCTCTCTTTATCATTAGTCAGTAACCTAGCCTGCACAGGGTAGGCTAGACCTTGGGTAGCCTATTTACCCCACAGGCTCCCTCCTACTTCAGACTCTCCAGGGAATACACACCTTTGCTACCTTTGGAAATTTGTGTACTGTTCCACATGGTAATTCCAAACTCTAGTCCAGAGTGACACTCTTAGTGTGAGCTCCCATATCCAAGGAATGGCTCTACAGACAAACCAAGGGGCTCTCTCTGAGAAGACACTTTACTATGTTGTGGGATAATGCTCTTGTACACAGTAAAGATTTGTCATTCATATTGGTTTAATAAAATTCTGACTGGCCAGTAGCCAAACAGTAAGTAAAGGCAGGGTAACCAGACTAGGAGAGTTCTGGGAAAAGAAAAGGCAGAAATACAATCACCAGCCAGATGCAGGGGAAGCAAGATGAGAATGCCTTACTGAGAAAAGGTGCCAAGCCATGTGGCTAACCAGATAATTTAAGTTGTAAGAGATAGTTAATAGTAATCATGAGCTAATAGGCCAAACAGTTTATAATTAATATAATTCTTTGTGTATTTCTTTGGTACTGAACAGCTGTGGGACCAGCTGGGAGAAACTTCTGTCTATACTATAATCAGTGGCTTCATTTTCAGATAGAAACACGAATCACACTAATTTGAAGAGAGCATGTTTTTCTGATAGATTGTGTGCCCTTGAAAAGGTTTCTCCTTCTCAGTATACCTTTGCAACATTCCCTGGATACCTAGCCTTCGTAAAATGAAAACATGTCTGGCAACCCTGTCCACTTGGACTGATGAAGAGAAATGGATGCACCATCAATGAGCCACAGCAATGTGATTTGTCCAGGAACCAGAGGCATATGAATGGGAGGGAGAGGAAAAATCTCAGGGTCTGGAGGCATGAAATGCCTAGCACAGGTGAGGGATGTTGGCATAAGAGTATCTGAGGACTAGGTAGGAGCCAGCTCTTGAAAGGTCCTAGGGCCAGTGCCAGAGAGAGAGAGAGAGAGAGAGAGAGAGAGAGAGAGAGAGAGAGAGGTGCTTTAAGAAATGAGAGTGGAATTCTGTAGGCCACCACAGTGGGCCTTGAACAGAACCACCCACTGTATGTGTTAAAACCCAGAGACGGTGGTGATTGGCCGAACTGGAACCCTTCATTCCTCGCTGTCTGCCACATGACACCTCCACCTGAGCTGAGCACTTGGGGTGGAGGGTGGGCTTCAAGTCTTAGGTGCTGCTCCTGAACAATGCAGTGGTAAGCTTTCCCAAAAACTTCAGTTGCAAGGGGTATAAAATAAGGGGAGGTGGCAAATGGTGCCAGACTTGGAAGTGTCTGTGGCTTGGCGTTTGTATCTGCAAAGCCCGGCACCCCCAACAGCGCTGGGCCATAGGCACAGCTCACAGTCACTCTAGCCAACCTGGACTGGGAGCTTCCTGTGTGACAGTCACTAGTGTAGAAGCATTACAGAAGATCCAATCATATTGGCTAGCAACAGATCATCAATTTTATCCCCATTTTTGCTTGAGTGGAGAACAAGACATAGGCAATTGGCTAACAGGCTCAAGGTCACAGCAAGCCATTTAGGCCACCATTGCACACATGCCACAAGTCCTTCAGAAGGAGCTGTTGTCCTTGAGAAGTGTGAGTTCAGCAACTTCTGGATTGGTTAATTTCTTGCTAAGTTACTTAACTGACAATCAGCTAGCTAGGTGTAAGTGTTAGTTGATTTATTCATTAACCCATCTCCAGTAAACATTCTCTTAGCCTTCACATGGTTTTACTCTATGCATGCAGCAACGGACATGCACCACGTCCACATGTTACCATCTGACTTTGGACCAAGTGTTTCTAACCAGCCAGGGGTCCTCCTGTTCAGTTTGGGATAGCAATTTCAAAAAAGCAAAAGACGTTCTTTTTCGCTGTTTTCAGTCTTATGGATGATTAATTTTGTCAACTCAGTTGGCGTAAGAAACACCTACCAGGCGTGTCTAACCTTTTGACCTTGTGATGCAACATCATTGTGTTCTACAAAGTTCACACTTGTTTGTGCATGCGGTCTAATTACAGGGTGTGAGTGCTGCATGCCTTTATCCCAGTCCCTCACACAGTGCACAGCTGTGACATCAGAAGAGCCCTCACGTGCATGTCAGGGACTGATCCATACAAGGTCCCAAAACTCCCACCGGGCCGCAGCCTGGAAGGATAGGAGTCTGCGTGTGTGTAGAAGACCTCTAGGCAGGGATGTGGGGATCCACGTACATTCTCTCCTTGGTATGCCTGTGTGCTTAGCCACATGTGAGTCTTGAGAGGGTCCGAGCAGCTCACACAAGAGTCAGGCTGTTTGTTAGGAAGAGCTATTAGAAGTCTGTCAGAAATTTCCAGACTTTACATTCTAATTGTGTCAATGATTTTGCAGGATATTCTCTATGCCAGAAAAAGTACTCCCCAGTTCTATATATTAAGTAATTAAGTCCAAATAGTTGAATGGTATTTTTACAAGTAGCTGTTTTCAAAAATTAATGCACAGAGCTGGCATTGTGACATATGCCAATAATCCTGTGCTCAGGAGGTAGAGCATGAGGGGAGTTCAAGGTTATTCTGTGTAACAAAGTGATTTGAGTACAACCTGGGCTGCATGACACCCTGCCTCAAAATAAACAGTGGAAAATTGAGTACACTCTCTGCTAGTTAGTTTACTGTCAATTTGACGACATAACCCAGAGTCACCAGGGAAGAGGGTTGAGGAATATCCCAGGTCAGACTAACCCATGGTCATGTCTGTAAGATTGTCTTAACTGATGACGGATGTGGGAGGGCTGAGCCAGTAACCAGCCTTCCGCCATGATTCCTGCCTCGGTTCCTGCCTTGAGCTCCTGCCCTGACATCCTTCAGCAATGGATTATGACCTGGGAGCGTTAACCAAATAAGCCTTTCCTGCTTTTAGTCATGGTTTTTTTTTATCATAGCAACAAAAAGAAAAGACATACTCCCTCCGTTGTTTAGAAGGCTGAAACATGCTAGTGGGTACCTGCAGGGGCACAGTGCCTTGGCCCTCCAGCACGCCACCCTCGTGTTTGGTTTCGTGCAGAATTGCACATGTTATTTGCTGTTTATAAAAGCAAACAAGATACTCTGGCGTTAATCTCATTGGAGGAGAAAAAAGTATACCCAATGTTGAATTGTGAATACTTGGGCTAGTTGTGATATTGGACAGAAGACAAAGATTGCTATGCTGTTTCCATTTAGGTTTTTAACTGTCTTGTGCCCATGGCATTGAGTAGGTGAACAGTGTGGAAAACATGGGATGCTAGAGAGTAAAGTTGGATCTGGATGCTGCACTTGGTCTTACATGAGTATTTTCTGCCTCAGTTTGACCTGGTGTGTGATCAGAAGTACCTGAGGAGAACTTCACAGTCGGTGTTCATGGCTGGCCTCCTCGTTGGGGCCCTCGTCTTTGGGCCCCTCTGTGACTGGTAAGTGCTGCTGATCCAGGGTGTTTTAAGCTCCTGGTCCTGACTCAGTTACCCCCTGGAGACTTGTTAGCCATCAAGATATGTCTTCATGCCTGCCTTCCAATGGGGCTCCATGGAAGATCCCGTCTCCCCTCTGACAGAGCTGAGGACAGGCCTGCCTGGGTCTCCCTTGATTGAGTCCTGGGCAGGCCTCCTCCCTTCACAACCTGTCTCTCTGTTACCTCAGGATTGGCCGCAGACCCTCCCTCCTGGTGCAGCTGCTTCTGTCCGCCATCACGGGCATGGCCACAGCCTGTGTGTCCAGCTTTGAGCTTTATATGATCCTAAACTTTGGCTTGGCTACTGCTGTGGCTGGGTTTTTACTCAGCACCAATGTCCTCCGTGAGTATATGGGCCCGAAAACCTTCTTCCTCGGAGTTAGAGCCCAGAACCTTTGGGCATGGAGTCAGTCAAATGCAACTAAAAAGGTCACGCTGCGTTTTCTGTGTTGACACTGAGTCACATCATTGACAGGCCGGCACTTGGGAATCACCAGGGGTGGGTGAGTGGGGAGGCTCAGCCTTTGCTCTCAGTTTCAGAATGGGTGGGGCCGTCCTGGAGAACAAGAGCCATGGTCCTGTCCCAGAGTAACATTGCCATTGGAATGATGGTGCTAGCAGGCCTGGCCTATGGTGTCCGCAACTGGAGACTGCTTCAGATCATGTGCACCGCACCCGTCTTCCTGCTCGTCTTCTACTTCTGGTAGGGAGGCCCTTGCCAGTGATGGGCCACCTTTTGTTGGGAGTGCCATGCCAGGGTGTAGGACACAGAAGAGGGAGCTCGTGGGGCTTGGGTGGGAGGCTCATTGTTCTCTGGAATTCTGGGTGGCTGCACTGGGCTCAAGACCCCAGTATCAGAGCTATGTGTGGTTGACAGGGTTTTGCCAGAATCTCCACGGTGGCTCCTCTCCAAAGGAAGGATAGAGGAGGCCAAACAACTGATCCAGAAGGCAGCCTCGGTGAACAGGCGGTCCCTTTCTCCAGAACTCCTGAGCCAGGTACCTGTCAGCAGACACAGGCTCCCCCTGTCTCAGGCATCTCTACTCTTGTGTCCCGGCCCCTTACTCTGCCCTTCTTCTAGCTGATCCCTGAGAAGACAGGTCCCTCGGGAAATGCGCTGGATCTTTTCAGACACTCCTATCTCAGGAAGGTGACACTGATTCTCATTGCTGTCTGGTAAGTGTCCAGGGCCTTGTCCCTCAGTGAGGACAGAGTCAGAGGATGTCTCTCGCTCTGCTGTGTGTCACTGGAGTGGTGGACAGAGGCTCTTTTGTTGTAAAGAGAGGGACCCTTGTTTGTCCCCGCTGCCTGGCTAGCTTACACCTTACACCCGAAATAACCACAAAGAAACTGTATCATTTAAAACACTGGTTGGCCATTGGCTCTAACTTCTTATTAGCTAACTCTTACATCTTAATTTAACCCATTTCCATTAACCTGTGTACCACCACGTGGCAGTGGCTTACTGGAGATTCTAACCGGAGTCCATCTCAGGCAGAGGATCCATGGCTTCTCTCTGACTCTGCTTTCTTCCTCCCAGCATTTAGTTCTGTTTTCCCCACCTACCTAAGTTCTGCCCTATCAAAAGGCCAGGGAAGTTTCTTTATTCACTAACCAATGAAAGCAACACATAAACAAAAGGACCTCCTACACCACTCTGTGAATGTGATGGTTTCTCCCCAGGTGTGAGTTCATTAAGTTAGGCTGTTCCTTTGGGTGTGACTTGATGTACACCCAACAGTAACAACGATATTGGGTACTTTGTAGGTTTGCGGACAGTCTGGTGTACTATTGCTTTAGCCTTCAAGTGGGGGACTTTGGCCTGGACATCTACCTGACACAGCTAATATTTGGAGTAGTGGAGATGCTTACCCGTCTTTCCAGCATCCCCATAATGGAGAAGCTGGGTCGCAAGTGGAGCCTGTTAGGTTCCCTGACTCTGGCGGGCACTATGTGCATCATCATCATCTTCATCCCAGCAGGTACCAGGCTGTCTTCCTCCCTGCCAGGGCTACCCCCATTGCTCCCACACCACTACGGGTTCCCCAGGGTTTGAGCATAGAGGGTGAGACACTTGAGTGACAGGGAGGTGTGTGGGCTTAGGTGATGGTGTCTTCCCCCTGTGTGGCTGACCTTGGCTCTCCTCCAGGTTTCCCCACAGTGGTCACTGTGCTGGCTGTGGTGGGGAAGTCAGCCTCATCTTCTGCCTTCACCATATCCTATGTGTACACTGCTGAGCTCTACCCCACCATCATCAGGTAAGCACTGCCCTGGGGATCTAATACCACCCATTCCTCTGGGGATCTAATACCACCCATTCCTCTGGCCCTCTGCTACCAGTCACATGCAGCCAGTGAACTGCCTATGAATCTAGGCCACTGAAGAGTTGTCCACTCACTGAGTCACCACAGGACACTGGAGGACCGATAGGCATGGGCATGCCCTGGCCGTCTCTGGACCAGAATGTGGGAGAGAAGTCAGAGTGAAGGTGTGGCCCAGGAGAGGACGCTCGGAAGTGGAAAAGGCATTTGGGTCTCTAGAGGTGACAGGAGAGCAGCAGAGAGGGCTTGCTGCTTCAGGAAGCAGGCAGAGTAGGCAGGCACGGTGGCTGAGACCTGGGCCCTGGCATCTCTGGAGTGGGTGTACCCTGACCAGCGACCAGAGCCTGAGCTTGTGCTGCTTTCCCCAGGCAAACAGGCATGGGGCTGGTGAGCATCTTCTCCAGGATTGGCGGCATCATCACCCCGCTCGTGATGCTGCTGGAGCAGTACCACAGGGCTGTCCCCATGGTCATCTTTGGCAGCTTCCCCGTCGTGGCAGGCCTACTGTGCGCTCTGCTGCCTGAGACGCAGGGCCAGACCCTGAAGGACACCATCCAGGACCTGGAGAAGGGGTGCCCCCTACGGTGAGCGTTGACTTGCTAGACCTCATTAGGGCCAGGCTTCCCCATCACCATTACCCCTTTATTGCTTACTCATTGCTTACTGGGTGATATGGTGCCCCCCTGGCACCGCTGTTTTCTGGTTGACTTTAGAGCACATTCCCCCTACTTTGAGCAGGGAACGGTAAGAGGTCTGTCATGGGACCATGTGTTGGGCAGTCACTGACTGTATTCTGCTTCTTGTAGGTCCCACAACACAGTACCCCAGAGAAAAGAAATGGAAGCCACAGGAAGGACTTCCAACATGGGGAAGGCCATTGTGAACAGTTCGTACTTCTGACTGTGGCCGCTAAGAGCCAGCTCACCAAAAACAGAGGATTGCCCACGATATCTTCTTGATTTTGTCAGGATCCACAGGGACAGAGGGGTCAGAGAGCCTTGTTCACGTAGGCAACACAGCAGAACCCAATGGAAGCATCAAGGACTGGACTCCTTCCTCTTCACAGCTTGCATACACAAACTACACCCCAGTACCATGACTGAGTTGGGCTTGGGTCTCTCTTCATCTTTCCCAACAGGCTCTGAAGTTATGACCTCACTGTCCCCTCAACCCGGAATACTCCACCCTCCTAAACAAAACAGAAGCCAATAGCCCCATCCCAAACAAAGCAGCTCAAACCCAGAACAGGATGCCAGGAAGGGCCAGCTGCAGAAGTAGGTTAACAAAAATGCTATGCCATATTTACTTTGGGATGCCTTCTTCCTGGCCAGTGGTCAGCTTGTGCCTCACATGTGTGAGGCTAGCAAGGAACGGGTGCCCTGCCCCTACCCGCTGTGCCATGATGCCCAGTAGGTAAGGAAGAGGGAAGAACTCCTTCTGTTCATCTGCCGTTGGTTGTTACTTCCCAGCATGCCCTGGCTCCTCGGCAGTCTGCATTTGCTGGCTTCTAAGAACTGACTTTGCTGCTGGGCACATTCTGGGGCCATTTAGAGGTTCTCTGTGCAGATGTAATTGGGGCCAAGCTCTTGTGTACATTGAAAGATTCCTGTGTCTTATCCTGTCAATCAGGTTATCTTTAGTGGTTGCTCATGAGCACTGCAGAAGCTAAGACATCTGGGATCCCAGAGGAGATTCTACCCAGGCCAGAGCTCTTTTCAATAGCAGGGAACCTTAAGAGGGACACGGTGGCTAGATATGCCAATCCACACCTGACCTCTAGAGGGCACTGTTGAACAGAGAATAGCTGGTCCAGAGCTATTTGGTGGTGCAGTTGTCTTTGCTGGGGTTGGTGCATCATTCAGACCTGGACCCCAGCCTTCCCATTTTACAGAGAGTGATTTTGTTCAGCATGTGGGAGGCATTGAGTTCAATTCTCAATGCTCTTACCTATCCACACACTTGCTCAAAACGGGTGATTTCATGGGTTACCTCATAACAAACCTCAAACTCTGCCCGGTAATGCAAAGTGAAGAGGTCTGGGAGTGTGCTCTCTGCAGGCGACGTCTGGGATTAAGACCACTATACTAGACACTGGCTTGAATTCTGTGTCTGAGCTCTAAGACCTTGCCCTATTCTCTGTTAACTGTGCCTCTACTCTGACGCAGTCCCTAGGGGCCCGACCCTTATGTCATCGACTTCCTCTCACAAGTGTGAACCTGTGTCCTTTTTACTGTGGGCCTGTAGAGAGCCGCGTGATGCCACGCCTTACAGGTGGCGCTGATTCCCGCCTTCCACCTTCCCAACGGTGAATGCTCTCAGGTGTGAACAACTCCATATATGGCTAACGCTAAAGATCTGGCTTGCTTCTGCGTTTCTGGACCTATCTGCGTTTCCCACGTGGCTTGCTGGGGTTGGCTACCCAGAGGTTATTTAAGCTGTAGACTGGCTTTTCCCCAGGGTGAGAGGTAGCGAGAGGGTAAAAAAGATTGTTCAAAGGGCCTGAATAAAACCGCAGTGAGAAGAGTCTGGTGTTGTGTTTTCCTTGCTGGCGAGACAGGCGCAACAATTGGTGCCGAAACCTGGGAACGTTATGGGGACACAACCTCTCGTCTGGACTCAGAACTTGCTGCGGGCAGGGAAGTGCACTAGTAAATTCCCAGGTAAAGGGGAAGTCCGCATCAAGAGCGGGGTTAATGACCACAACAAAAGTGGGGTTCATGACCATGACAAAAGTGGGGTTAATGACCACGACAAGAATGGGGTTAATGTGACTGCGACAAGAGCAGGGTTAGTGTAAATGTGTACAGATGTATGTTATGTTGTTTGTGTTGTCTTTTGTGTACTGGACAGGAGAAAGATATTTGAATTTAGGAACTGCTAAGAAAGGTATTTTGAATTTAAAATATGGGCCTAAGGATTTGATGTTTTGGAAAAGAGGTTCTGTTTTCATCACCACAGAAAATGAGAGCCTAAGGATGTATTCGAGATTTATGTGGTTTGAATCACCAAGACCTCCTGAAATGTTGTAGTAAATACCCCTAAGAATGCAGCATCCCCACTCAGCAGGAAGTAGCCAGACAGACTGACAATGCCCAAATTCCCTAAAAGATTGTTTAAGTGGGGTCTTTTCAGTGGTTGCAGAGCAGCAAGCCTGCTTCTCTGAGTTCCGCTCCACTCCGTGCACCAATTTGGACCTAAAACAAATGCAGCTGGGGCTAGAAGGCAGCTGGAGCAGAGCTTTGCTAGGTGGCTGTGGTGAAAGGCACATTGCCCCAGCCCAGTCGGTGCCTAGCCTGGTAGATGCCACAGCAGTGCCAAGAATGGGAACAGTGCCACAAGCTGTCAAACCGAAAGACCTGCAGTGTGCCTGGAACTGAGGGGCTCTGAGGCTGGAGTGGCTCCGGCTCTGCTTGGCTAAGCTGAACTGTGCTGACTTCAGGCAGGACTGATTGTAATTATCATAATAAAAGCGCAACTAAGGTTTAGACTGGCAGTAAACAGGCAGTACCGTATTACTTCTACATGGTGCAACTTCAGTTTCAAAGAACTGCTTAAAACCCTTTTATAGGTACAAAGAACCCCTGGATATTAAGGTGATTAAGTCCTTGACTAAATCTGTGAGAATTTGCAGTCTCTTTTACTGTGGCACAGGTGAAAGCCTTGAATAGATATTGCATGACGCCCAATGATTGGAATGGGCTTGCATGTGCATGTTTAAGGCCAGGACAGTATTTAGACTAGAGAGCCATCTTGATGGAGTTTGCTAACGAGGAAGCGACCCTGTTTGCCGCCTCTCCCATCAGCCCCATGAGCTCCAGCAGCTCCAGCGTGGACCCTGAGGCGTTGCTGGCCTGTGCCGCCTCGGTCATGGGTCCAGCACCTCCAGTGTTGGCTCCCGCCACACTCCCCACCAGCACAGCGCGGAGAGCAAGTCTAGCTCCGCGGGGATGGCGGCAGGGGGTTCCGGGGCTGGAGCTGCCACTACGGGCACAGGCTCCATAGCTGCGCAAGTTGGGGAACCGGCAGAGCAGTGTGGACTGGAGGCACAGCTTCCCCTGAAGGGGCAATGTCTAATGGGGTTTACGCCCTGCCAAGTGCGGCCAAAGGAGAAGTGAAGCCCGTAGTATCCAGCACGCCTCTGGTGGACTTCTTGATGCAGCTGGAGGATTACACCCGTACGATCCCACATGCAGTGACTGATTATTACCTGAACCGTGCTATAAATTTGTCTAAGCAATTGTCTAGTTATCTTTTAGGTAATTGGACTGGAGAATTTGATGCCGTGATGGAACAGCTGAGGGTGATCATCATCACCATGAATTCTACCTGAGGGGATGCTGGCATAGCTGAAGGACTCTCGTCCTGGATCTCCACTGCCATAAAACATCTAAAAGAGTGGGCAGGCTTGGGAATGTTAGCAGGCCTCTTGGTGTTGGTCTCCCTGGCTTGCCTGTGGTGTATATGCAAGATCAGGGTTTTTCAGCAACGCAGTGCAGCCATGATTATTAAAGCTGTTACAGCCATTGAAGCAGGACAGTCCCCCTACATGCACAGGATGCAAGGCTACTCTTGCCTGTTGCATCTAAAACAAAAAGGGGGAACTGTAGAGAGCCACGTGATGCCACGCCTTACAGGTGGCGCTGATTCCCGCCTTCCACCTTCCCAACGGTGAATGCTCTCAGGTGTGAACAACTCCATATATGGCTAACGCTAAAGATCTGGCTTGCTTCCGCATTTCTGGACCTATCTGCGTTTCCCACGTGGCTTGCTGGGGTTGGCTACCCAGAGGTTATTTAAGCTGTAGACTGGCTTTTCCCCGGGGTGAGAGGGTAAAAACGATTGTTCAAAGGGCCTGAATAAAACCGCAGTGAGAAGAGTCCAGTGTTGCGTTTTCCTTGCTGGCGAGGCGGGCACGACTTGGGCCAGTGTCAGCAGACATCCCATGTCCTCAGCCCTTTTCGGAAGGGCTCTGTCCCCTCTGCCTCTGTATACAATATGAAAGCTCTCATAGCAGGGGAGCCGGGTGAAGGGCCCCTTTCCTCAGTGGCACTTCTTGGCCATCACACCCCCTCGCTTGCCAAACTCAGTCTGTGGAAACCCCCCTCCCTGAGTCTGGTCCCACTTCTGCACCTCCAGATCATGTGCCTCCCTTCCATAACTTTTCTCCTGGACATGGCTACCCTGTGTATTCCACTTACTGTCATCCTTTGGAGAAAACCCTTTCCTTCCCAAATCCCATATAAGTGAATAAAAGAGTGAGCTCTTGCAGCACCGCTCACCACACCCTTTGTTTTGGATACTTCTGTCTAACTGTAACCAACATGAGAGAACAAGTTCAAGACTCGTTCCTTATTTGTGTGTGTTTGTCTGTCTGCCACGTGAGTGCTGTGCCTGCAGAGGCCAAAAGAGGGCGCCAGGTGCCCTGAACTGGAGTGGCAGACCATGCAAGCTGCCTGAGGTAGGTAGCCTAGAATGGAACTCAGGCACTCTGGAAGAGCAGCAAGACCTCCTCACTGCTGAGCCCTCTCTTCAGCCCTGACAAAACCACTTTCAAGGAGGAAGGATTTCTGCTCAGGTTTTCTAAAGGCTTCCTCCATGGCCACTCAGCCCCACGTGCTTTAGCGGAACGTCATGGAGGTGAGAATGTGGTGGGAGGTTCTCCACCTCTTGAAGGTTAGGGAAGAAGATGAGAAATGGCCTAGGGACCATGCACAACTTTAGAAGGATTGCCTCTAGTGACCTGTTTTCTCTAACTAGGCCCCACCTCCTAAGTTCCTGGAGCCTTTTAAAATAGGGCCACCAGGTCAGTATCAAATATTCAACCCATGAAACCCCTGGGGCCATTTCCTACTGGAACTCTAATGGCATGCTAACACTTTGGTTGGTTTGCTCCTGACTTGGTCTGCTTGGGGTGCACAACAGCAGCCAGGTGATCTGAGGTTAGGGTGCCAGGGTGGCCAGGTTCTGGTGAAGAGCCTTTCTGTATGCCCTATATGCATGCCTCTAAGTGCTTCTCTAGACCTCTGGGAATGGAAGGCCACCTCTCTTGGTCCTCATGTGGCCTTTTTTGGTGTGTGTGTACGGAGAGAAGTTTCTCTTCCCCTCCTCCTATTAGGTCACTGATTCCATCGGTGGGGGGGGGGGCCCACCATGATGATCGTATTTAGATATGAGCTAATCATGGTCATGACCTCATCCACATACCGTGACCCTGAGGGAAGGAATGCAGTCATTCTACAGCAACCTTCTTAGCTCTACTGGGACCTTGTGGCCTGTTGACTCTTCTCCCAGTCTCTGTCACCTCCCAGACCAGAGCAGAAACTGTCCCTCCACCTGCAGTGGAGACAGATCGGCCCTGTTCTTCTTACCAGCACCTCACACTTTAATTCTTGTGCTGTTTGGTTGTGTCCAACTAGAAAAGCCACAGCAGCAAGTGAGCCCAGGTACCCGTGCTGTCTCTGCACCCCAGACGGCAAGAGAGTCATGCGCTGTTCGGTTTCATTTTTCTGTGAATCCAGCAACCAGCCTCCCACAGGCTTTTGGCAGCCCAGCTTCTATTGGGACTCTTTTCTGTCTTCACTAATGGCCACTTCTCTTCTCCACTCTGCGTGTCTCTCATCCTACATTTCACAATCAAGAAGTCCCCCCCTTGCTCCAGAAACGGGGGCCACCCCAGGTCACCTCTCCAGGCTGCCTACCCACAACCCTATTGACCTGGAGGTGATGCCATGACCTTTACCCCAAACCTGGCTGCTGCTAAAGGTTAAGCCTCTTCTCAGTCTCCGCTCTTCCCTTGGATCAAGGATCCTGGTTGTCAGGTAGGTCAGTGAAGGCTCTAAGTTGCATTTGCCTCCATGTCTCCATGGCAGCGAGAGACTTCAGTTCCTTCTGAAGTGCTGGCCACTCTCAGAGCTCTCTAGTGAGCCAATGACTGTCCACTGTGCGGAGTGGTCAGCCCAGGCCACTTGCCTCCAGAGGAGTCTAGGACAGAACTTGACCACCATTCTACTGTGGGTGAGAGAGTCTCAGGGCCTTCCTGTGGGACTGGCCTTGTTTCACTGTTTCTTGATTGCCACCTGCTGGCTTTTGCTTTTAAGAAGCTAGGGCCAAACTTACCCTATTGTATTTAGCTCGCAGGAGTTGAAAGACCCTAATATTTACTAGTTTCTTCATACAGCAAGGGAGACAGAAATGGTATTCTAGGGTTTTGTGTATATATGATGTAATTATATGTGTGCATGGATGGATAGGGTATATATGTGTGGTGTGTGGGGTCCGAGGGTGTCTTAGTTAGGGTTCCTATTGTTGTGAAGAGACACAAGGACCACGATGACTCTTATAAAGAAAACATTGAGTTGAGATGGCATCTTACAGTGTCAGAGGTTCAGTCCATTGCCATCACGGTGGGACATGGCAGCGTGCAGACAGATGTGGTGCTGGAGATGTGACTGAGAGTCCTACATAGATCTTACGGGTAACAGGAAGTGGTCTGAGTGTCACACTGAGCAAAGCCCGCCTTCACAGTGACACACTTCCTACAGCAAGGCCATTCAACTCCAGCAAAGTCACACCTCCCCACAGTGACTTCCTTTGGGAGCCATTTTCTTTCAGGGGTTGACCTTGCATATTGTTCCTCATCTCCCATCTTGCCTGGGCTGGAGCCTCTTTGCTGTGTATTACAGGGTAGCTTCTGGGGATTTCCCCTTTCTGCCCCGTCTCAGTACTGTAGTGCTGGTGGGTTACAGATATGTGCTTCCGTTCCTGGCTTTACAGGAGTTATGGGTAATTCAAACTAAATCACCTTCTCAGCCCCATCATGTGCATGTGTGTGCGTGTGTGTGTGTGCGCGTACACGCACATAATTAAAAGCTGATTAACATGATAGTTGGCGTGAATATTAGCTCTTTAAACTCATGTGTAAAGAACCAGTGTTTCCTCCCATTAAGCCTCTCTCTGTCATGTGTTCACTGGAACGTCAGTCTCCGATGACAGCAGTGTTCCTCGGTGCCTAGAGATGAAGCTGGAGGCAGGGCTCACAGGACCAGGGAGGTAGAGACTTGGGACTTATAGGACCAAGGGCCTCCCATCCTGATTATTTTTCTTACCAACTGCTGGGCTCCCCTTGTGCCACTGCCCAGGCCCGCATCCCTAGCACTTCAGCTTATAAGATCGGGGGACTCAAAGGGGCTTGAGGGCCCTGGGAGCAGCTGCTTGGGTGACCTAGAAACACCTGGGAGGCCTGATGAAGAAGTTATTCTAGGTCCCAGACACCAAGAGGATTTCTGTGCCTTCGCAGGTAAGAGGAGAGTTGAAGTTCCATGAGCTGAAGAGTAGCTATAAGGACAGTTCTCTGTGATAGTAACTTTAGTCTAAGAGCAAGCAAATATATATACATGTACACGTATGAATATGCACGTAAGCCAGAGGTTGACCTTGGGTGTCTTGGTTTTGGAGCCATGCACCATCTCTCTCTCTCTCTCTCTCTCTCTCTCTCTCTCTCTCTCTCTCTCT